TCTCGTTCTATAATCTTGTAGACCGAATTTAGGGACGTACGAATTGCAGTGAAATTGACGCCATTTGGAGCCCTTATCATAAAGTAGGAAGGGGTGGCGTTCGATAGTTGGTATCGGAAGCCTTGATCTTCTAGCTTCGCGAAGGATAGGAGATTGACAGTAAGGTTGGGGATCCAGTGGACATCACTGATCAAGATATTCCCCCCTTTTGATTCTAGAAGAACGTCACCTACCTCTTTGACCTGCCCCTGGCCTCCGTCCGCGGTATTAACCTTCAAATCCCCCTTGAATGATCTTGCTCGCACTATCGAGCGCTTTTCACCTGTCATGTTGAAGCTTGCGCAGATGTCAAGATACCAGGGTTTGAAAGTTGTATTGGATGACGCAGACAGCGCAATGGCTGCATTGGCATTAGGCTGAGAGGCAAGGAGATCTGTCACTTTGCTGCCAGTAGATTTGTCATCACCCTTATCCTTTTCCTTATTCTTACCCTTGCCCTTCTTTTTATCCTTTCCCCTTCTTTTGGCACCCTCAGAGTTATTGGTGCCTTTCTCCTTTTGAAGTTCCTTCCACCATTCTGGTGCCTTATCAGGGTTTAACCGAAAGCAATAAGCCTTTGAGTGCCCCGGAATGTTGCAAAAATCGCACCTGGGAGACGTGGTGGAGGTTGCGTTGTTATTGTCATTAGTGGCTGAGTTGGCCCTCGGAGTTTTAGTTCGCTCTGAGTCTTTTACCTTGCTTGTTCGATGAGCAAGCTGCTTCATCAGGTCATCAATATCCAAGTTGATGATGGGACCCTGACCTGTCCCATTAAATGTGTCAAGGCGTGATTTGACGTAGGTCCTTTGATGATCACGGAGGCCGATAATGAAGAAGTCATGGAGGAAGTCTTCGTGAGGGTTCTTTGCCAGTTCTAGAATGCGAGTAGAGAGGTAGCGAAATTGACGTATGTATGACAGATAATCGCCATCCTTGACGTGTAGGTAGGTCAATTCTTTGAGGATGCTGATCCTCTCTTCCCCTAAGGACATCACGTACTTCATGCCTATCTTCTCCCATAGAGCTGCTGCGTTATCTGATTGGATGGTCCCAAGCGTTGTTCGAACAGAGCTCACCAGAGATTGCAACATCCGACGGTAGAGAAGTTTTGAGCGTATCGCCCAATATCGTTGATCAAGTAATGATAAGCCCTCAGGGGGCTCATGTTGGTTCTTGTTTAAAATGTCTGCACCACTGATCACTTCTGCATCTGATAAGATGCTAATCTTCAAAGCTTGATGATTGGTTCCATCGAGCGTGGTGACGGACTTAGTGTCCAATGAGGCCTGCATCTCCTTCTGATAGTCACGGGCCAGTTGCTTCGGATCTTCCATAAAGGTGGTGTTGGGAATCGGGCGTGCTGAGAGCGGTTGCTAGCAGAGCGCCCTACGGTCTGCCACTGACATGGTCACCATGCCACTGGCGTTAGGCGTAGGCATCAGCATAGGACTGGGAGTGCCATCATCAGACTCATCGCGTTCTAGCATCTTGCCAGTATCGCACGCTGAGCCAGAGGCCTCTATCAAATTCTCCTCCACCATCACGTATTCTGCTTGAGCCGTTTGTGCCCCCATAGTATTTGGAGCGGCGATTTCCAATGTAGGATTCTTGTCGGGGTCCGGTTTGTTAGGTAAACGGCTGCTAAGAGGATCTCTGGAAAAAGGCTTTAGGGAAGGTGAGCTTCAATACGAATTGTTCTTGTCTTTGCTAAAAGGGTATGCCCAGCACATTCTGCGGCACCATTTTGTTCATGGACGTAGTCCGCGGAGAATTCTACATGGATGCCCTCTTCCCTAATACAGTTTTCGAAGTCGGTGGTATCAATTGACGTCTCGTTGTCTATCCTTATGATTTTAACGCGTATATCATATTGACATTCAATATTGCTAATTGTTTGTTGAATAGCTGCTCGGATATCAGACTTCTTTCTTCCAATTATCGCCAAATAATTCCTGAAAGAGTCACACATAAAATGGATAGCCCAACGTTTGCTTGAGAAGCTCGCATCAGGACCATGAATAATATCACCATGAAAGCGTTCAAATAGAAGGTTGGAACGTATGTGTGGACGTCACGATATTTGGTTTTTGGCGTTCGCGATTTGGCAGGTCTGCTTGCAGAGGTCGAATTTCCCCTTCCTTGGTTTCGCGGAATCCGATGATTTTTCACCCTACACGTCCACAATTTTAACGCCGGTAGAGGTATTAGGAAGGTGAATAATTGAACCTTCTTGAACGTGGCCTAATCTGCGATGCCATAATTCCTTGGATCCGTCGGCGATCGTGATTTCCGCCGATTTCTTCGTATAGAGGGCGACGCCGAAATTGGCGTGGGTGGGCTGACCAGCTCCGGCTCCGGCTCCAGTCCATCTAATGGGTGGTAATCCGTCACCCACATCCGCCCGATTTTCTGCAAAACCGCGAACGGAGCTCCATTTCATTGAAGCTGCTTGTATTCAGACTGTAGATATATTGATTGCTCTTCCAGTTAATCAACAGCAGTCAAATTAGTGTGGAAGTTGGGTATAAATGCGGTGTTTCGTAATAAGATGTCAAAACGTTTCCCATTTTCGTCGGTCATATAGGTAATCACGGTTCCATAACCAAGAACCCTCGTAGTCATGTCACCAGTCAAAATCTCGCCATTTGCTTCGGTAAAGGTTAGAAATCGAAATCAGTCATTGGTAACGTGCTGGTCAGCGGCGCAATCTGATACCCAGCTGTTTTTCAAGGGGTGGGAGCTAACGCCTCCGGCCCTGGGTGGCCGAGGCGGCGGTACCACAGGACAGAGGTAGCAGGTGCAGACCATTTAAGCAGGGCTGATCAGACTACAAATACAGCTTCTTCTGTGGGTAGAGGATTATATTCCAGTATGAATTTGTCAAACTTCTTTTGTAGATAGAAAAATGACTGCGTCCTTTGACATAAATTAGAGTGCAATTGAATTCGTTTATCCCAATATTCCACGTATTGAAGAAATGCGCAGCTGCAATATTTGTATGAAAGCTAGGAATATAGGAGACACTGATCAATGTTGTAGATTTTGATCCAGTGGATGAGTCAACTTGAATATCCACCTCACCGTGGCCTTCCACTAGTAGGCATGAGTCTCCGGCGTAGATGAAGGAGTTTTCAATCACAGAATAGTTTCTGAAGCATTGCATGTTATTGCAAATATGACAGTTTGCCCCATTATCATAAATATAGCTATCTTGCAGTGGATATTGATGAATTGAGGAAGCTCCAGCTTCAAAGACCGCTGTTGAAAGTGTGAAAACTGCGTCTTCGTCAAAATCTTCATATCAGGATTCCACCATTGTGGCGGTGGCTGCGCTAGCGTCATTAGCAGCTTGACGTCCAACCTCTTTTCGCGAATTTGACTGCGTTGGTCCCGGTTTACCCTCCTTCTTCCAATCCTGAATCAGTCAATTAATACGGGCTAGAAGGCTTTGATTCTGGGTTGCTTCGATAACATGTTCAGCAGTTGCATAAGTCGACTTCCAATTTGGTTTAGCAGCGCGTTGATACTACGGGTTGAGGTAGTAGCAGTGGGCCCATCGGTGGGAATTGCCACATACGCAATTGGAATTCGTCTTCAAGGAACTCCAGCTGCGAGATCCAGAATCAGGGTTTTTAGGTGTGGATTTAACAGTACTTTGAACCAGTCTCTTGGAGATCACTGACAGTGGTATTGTCCTGGAATGTGGCAGCAAAGACAGCAGTCTTATGAGAGACTTTAGTCATGTTGGCATTTGCTATTTTCATTTGGCGGAAGTTTCAGAACTTCTTAAACAAGGCTGAGATCTCAATGGGAGATAGACCCTCGTCTGTGTCATCAAGGATCCGATTACGGCGGTAGTTGACGAATTCCGGCTGGATGTCCTCAATCATTGTGAGGAAACGATTTCTTAGAGATATCCTTCCCTACAAGGATTGCCCCAGCTAGCGCCAATAACGTGCGAATGCCTCTCTCCGAAACACCATCTTGGTGGGGGGAATTGCGGGGTAGTAGGCTCCCATATCGTCCTCTGACTAGTCATGATTGTAGATATCCTCGTAGAGCGGAATAATACGCCGTCAATATCCGTCCTAATGTACGCAGGCAGAGTGAAACCCGGGTTTTTCATGAATTGAATCCAGTGCTCGTAAAAATCGACGGCTTTGTCCTTCTTATGCAAAAAATAAATCCATTTATAGCTGGCAGCATCGTCCGTAATAAGTATGTGGTATTTCGTCCCCTGGGGTGATTCGACTGCGTGGTCAGGCATTTCGTGGAGCAGTTGGCCGCCAGCGAGATCTATATTGATACGCTCCATCGCCCGTAGAGCTCGTGGCGTCGGGGTCTGTGAGTATTTACGTGTCATGCCGGCTTTGACGCAGCTATAGCAAAAGAAGCCTGACTTGGGTCCTTTGATTTGTACGCTGGATAGGGGGTTCTTCACTAATGATACAATCGCTCCCGCATGGATATGACCTAAGTCGACGTGCCATTCTATGAGGGTTTTTGATATTTTATGATTGTGAGATTGTGAGATTGATCATTAGATTCGTCGAGTGTCGCCATTGCGTCTCCGTACCCGTAGGATTGGGCGATAAAATCGACTGCTTTGGACGTATGGTGGACATCGATTTCCGAATCTTGTTCGACGATCTTTGTAGATGGAGCTTTGGGGCGTATGAATTGCGGTGAATGTGGCACCGTTTGGGGCTGGTATGATTAAATAAGACAGGGTGGATGAGGATAGTTCAAATCTGAAGCCTTGGTCTTCTGGCTTCGTGAACGACAACAGGTTGGCAGTGGAATTCGGGATCCAATGCACGTCACGGACCATGATATCCCCCCTTCTGATTCTAGGAGGATATCCCCAATCTCCTTAACCTGTCCATGGCCTCCGTCGGCCGTACTCACCTCAAGGTTGCCCTTATATAATTTAGGACGCATCATTGAATGCCTCTCACCGCTCATATGAAAACTGGTGCAGGTGTCAAGACACCATGGCTTCGACGATATTTCAGATGACACGAATAGGGCGACCGCTGAGTTGGCACTTGGTTGGAAGGCAAGAAGATCCGGCATTTTTTGTCGTTAGCTTTGTCTTCCGTATCCCTTCTTTTATCGTTGTCCTCATCCTTCTTATTTCTTTGTTTTCGTCCGCTGTTATCAATGTCCTTGATAATCTTATCCTTATTCGCCTCCCTCCATCGACTGGACGCCAGCTCTGGGTGCAGACGCCAACGGGTCTTCTTCACATGACCTGCGGGCTTGCAGATTTCGCACTTCGTGGATGTGGATGCACTTGGCTGATGATTTCCGTCATTGGTGGCCGTGTTGGCCTGTGGGGTCTTCGTACGCTCAGAATCTTTGGTCTTGCTTGTAGGATTGGTCAACTGTTTCATAAGATCATCTATATCTATGTTGACAATTGGGTCTTTGGCCTGTCGCATAAAATCGTCAAGGCGAGTCTTCACGAAAGCTCTTCGATGATTTCGTAGACCATTAAGGAAGAGATCATGGTAGAAATCGTCCCTATTATTGGCTAACTCCTTATGACGTGCGACTAGGTAGCGAAATCTCCTCTGGTTGGTAGGATAATCATTATCTTTGACATAGAGGGTAGAAAGCTCCTTCATTACATTCATACGCTCTTCTGCTAAGGAGACAGCGTATTCAATACTAATTTTCTGCCATGGGGCAGCTGCGTTGTCTGGTTCCAACGCTCCAATCGTCGTCCGTCCGTACGGGTCCTAGAAGGGACTGCAACATTCGACGGTATAGGGCCTTTGTACGCACTATCCAATGTGCTTTATAAGGCGTCAGTGTCCTGAGGTGGTTCATGTTGGTTCTTCGTAATAATGTCAGTGCCGCCGATGACCTCCGCGTCCACATGGATTCCCCTCCCTCCAAGCTTGGTAGTTGGTCCCATCGAACGTAGTCACAGCTTTCGTATCCATCGAGGTCTGCACTTCTTTTTGATATTCACGTATCTCCTGTTTTAGGGTATACGAAGGGTATTCTCATTGATTCGAGAGTTCTCATTTGTAGCCATCATCTGCTGGCAAAATGCGAACAAATCAGCCGCAGTCATAGTATGGTGATCATGCCACTGGCATTAGGGGCAGGCATGGGAATAGAGGTCCCATCATTTCGATTCATCGCGTACGGGCATTTTCCTCGTATCACGGCTCGAACTAGCTCCTTCCATTGCTTCCTCTGCCAACGCGTATTCGGTCTCTCCTTCAGCCGCTGAGCTAAGCTCTGTCACCTGGTCATACTCTTCTTCGTACACCGGGGGGAACGAGGGGAAAGAGCCTTGGGGCTTAGAACGAGAACGTAACGATCTCTTTCACTCTGATTGAGGAGAAAGGGTTAATCTGCTCATCTAGTCGTAGGAACAGAGTGTCTTTGAAGAAGAAGAAGAAGAAGAAGAAGAAGAAGAAGAAAAAGATAAAAATAAGAGAAAAGTGGAGTGTTGTTTTTGATTCTTCGAAGAACGCGATCGCTTTTGCAACCAGACAATATTCCTGTGGATAATTTTGTTGCAAAAAGAGCCTTCTTTTCTAGAATCTACATCGAACTCATCCAAAGAGCTACCAACGCAACGAAATCTTGAATAAAAATTGCGTTTTTATCTCAAAAACGTACAATCCGGGCTCATAAACTGTGGGGTGGGTGAGTTCTCTATTGAGGGGGAGAGAGGCTCACTAATATACCCCTGTATCACGTGTGGTTGGGCAGGCAATTGGGTGCCCAACGGGCACTAATTACGTCATAAGGTAGCTCTGCTTGATAAATTACATAGTTCATCAATCACGTTGGGATCCAATCCAACGACATCAGGCAGCTGCTGTCGCCCTCCAATAGTTACATTTTTTTTTTTTTTTTTTAATCTAATGCATCCAAACTCACCATCCAGACCATCAATACCCTTCCGCAAGTCAGCGGAAATATCCGATGAGGACAAGTGACAGTTGAAGCGCCTTAGATGTCAACCTCTCTCGATCGCCTGATTCAGTACGACTCCCGGATTTCTGTAGTTATTGGGAGCTTTGTGACCCCATAGGTCAGCATTTCTTCTTTTTCGGTGAGATAACTTACAACGTACGTATTCTCCCATTTATCCCTATCACTTGTCCGTGCTAACGTCTCATTCCCCGTTTTGACGCTTTAAGACATCATTAACTTTATTAATGTCTGATGTCAGAATGGCGGATGTCTGCGCCTTTAGACGCGTCAATACCCCTATTGATCACCAAACAGACGAAGACTTCAACATTCAGTCACAGGAACGGGCCAATCTCTTGTCTGAAATCAAGGACGCAATTCAATCTAGTACTGTGAAGGCACCTCTGTGGGCATGTATGCAAGTATGTGACATCTCAAAGTTACGAGAACTTGTAACAGCCGCACGAAACTCACCAGCCATATTTTCTCTCTTTAATAACACTTGTTTATCTATTCCTTTGCGTTGGATGCAACATCCTCCTCTTGATCATGTATCATCAACGCCCTCAACCCTTTCCTCCGCTGAAATTTCTGCACACTCGGACCAAAGGCATCGACGTGTAAAGCCAAAAACACTCGCGAAAGAACGTGATCGATATTCGTGTGCCATCACAAAAGGAGAGGTCTTTGAAGTGGCGTATATCTTTCCTCACTTCATGATTAACACGAAACTGTCCACCAATCTTGATGCCTCCATCCCTCCTTTTTGGAATTTACTCGATGTCTTCTTTGAACCGGACCGGCTTAACCGATGGCGTGCAGAAATATTCAAAGACCCCTCAAACCCTGACAAGTCCACAGATGGCTGCCATAATATGATCTGTCTCAGCCCTACAGCACACCGTTTGTGGGCAAAAGCCATGTTTGCGCTGCGGCCAGTTTCCTTGTCCGACGATCGCAAGGAACTTGCTCTTCAGTTTTACTGGCAGCCCAGGCCATCCCATGGCCGCTTTGATTCTGTGAACATTCTTGAATCACCAGGTTCATCCAGAGATCTCGTTAGAGTGGGGGCCAACGTACTCTCAATTGCCGCCGATGACAATGCGACCTCTGCGGTCGCTATCAAGTCTGGTCATACCTTTGTCTTTCGAACTACCAATCCTAATACCCATCCTCTCCCAAGTTTCGAATTGCTCGACATGCAGTGGCACCTTCAGCGAATAGTTTCAATGTCCGGTTCTGCTGAAATCTATGATGAAGATAACGGCGATGACGATGGAGATCACTTGGATGCTGGTATCATCCACAAGACCTTCTCGGACATCCTTGCATGGGTGTCTACACCGTTGTCTCACTCGGGAAGTGATGACGATTTCTCTCGTTCACCTGCTTCAATCAGCACTTATCCTTTAAGGACCATAGAGCGCCCGAGCAAAAATTTATTCTGTTAAACCACAGACTGCTGCGTTGAGACGTTCTTCAGATGTATGCTCTGCAAAACTGCACTAGGATGCATGGGCTTCCCCACCCCCACCCCCAAAACCCCTATTTGAGGCAGCACTAATCTTAGCGTATACCCTACTCTAAATACATTGTTAAACAATATCCAATGGGGTAATCGTATGCCATTTCCCTGTGCTTCGCAACAATATATTGATGTAGCCGCTAACTCCATTGCTTTCATCCCCAGAGACCCTATTCGTATCATACCATAGTTCCAGTCTGGGACAGTCAGACTTCGTTCAGGATTATTCTGCATTAAGATTAGGTCTTACAACCAATGATCAATGGCCAATGACCAATGACCAAACATTAAAACTCTCCTCTCGCGACACTACTCCAAGGCCTCTATAGGCCTCCCGCCGTCTGCCCGATCGTGCACCCCAACTCCTCCCGCACCTCCATCAGAACTGCAGGATCAAATTTAAGTGCCTCCATCTTTGTAGCATTTGCATCCTCTTCGAATTCTCTGCCACTCGTATTTCATTGCAAATCTTGCCTGGCGCTCATCCTGGTGGTGTTTGCGTGTATGCTGCATATGCGTAATCGAGGTGCCAGGCACCACGCAGAACGCAGTACGATCCGACGTCATCTAGGTTATCGATTCAGCGGTGGATTCTGCTGCGATTCGGAGCCTGTTGAAGGCGCTAAATTAACTTTCTTATTTGAAGCCTGAAGGCATCATGCTAAGGTTCATAGTGCGTCTCGAGCAATCTCATATTTGCATTCGGTTTGCCTCGTTAGCTTGCTCAGCTAGATAAATGAACTTTACCGCTCTCTCAGTGAGCATCACACTCAAACCCTTTTAAGGAATGACACAGTGCCTGAGCAGATATCGTAGTGTGAAGGTTGTATATTTCGAGGCAGACGGATGTTTTCAAAACAGTTCATGTGACCGGTAAGCCTGATATGGTGGCTGTGGCGCAACATATGAGTAAAATTGAGATGGTTGCTGCATATGTAGTACGTGCAAACCCTGCAGAGTTGGTTGTACGGAATAAAAATGTAATTTCACTGGTACTATGCAGGATCATGAGCAGCTGAAAACAGGTTGTTGTCTTGGAGGGGAGATGTTGTGACAAGCACCGCGAACAAACTGTTGCACTACAAAAGAACATTGTGAATTCCATTACCTCAACCTGTCCCGCACCTCCAGACTGGAAAATCCTCTTCCAGGCGACGCGGCAAGAAATGACCTTGGTAGAACCAGCAGTGAAGCCACGAGGAGAACGGGACCCAATGGCGAGAAGTGGGTGTAGCGACGCAGCGACTGTGAGAGTAATTTAATATCCCATTCAGGGAAAGTAGAAAGAGAGGCAGTCGTCGAACTTACTTCGATTTTCAGGTGCTTTTTTGATGGCAGCGAAGAGCATCTCCAGCAACGAGAGAGCACTCACTAAGATCAAGACACCGTTCTTACGCCACAGCTAAACCGGACCAAATGCATACGTTATCTGGAGGAGCTTGGTACGTCGGGAGAATGGCTTGGTAGATATCAATGCTATGATGCAGAACCCAATCAAGGAAAAAACTGTGAAGCTTGCCAATAGTAAAGCCATGAAGAATAGCGAAACTCTTGGAGACTTGTTGACAGTCCGATGAAGTCGCTTGCGTATTGATGCCATGACTGCGCCCGCCAGCAGCAGGGCAGTTGCGATAACACCCAAAAAGCTGGAAACGAGGCTTAAGCTTAACATATAAAGCGGCATTCGTTATAGCACATTCATTGAGGACAAGGAAAAAGAAGGTCTCATGCATGTATCCTACAGGTACAGTATTTTAAATCAACTAGGGACGTTCTTCAGCGAAGTAAATAGGGGAGCTTTACAGAGTCAGTCAAAAGATGAACATTGAAAAAAAAAAAAAAAAAAAAAAAAAAAAAAAAAAAAAAAACCACCAACCAGCTGCTTGCCTCGCATGATTATAAACAGCCTGCCTGTTGAAGCAGCAGCACAGAGCCAACGACAAGGTATGTAGTAATGTAATATGCGAGAAATATCTTGTCCTGTGTTGATCCAAAGGAATTATTCCAAAAGCACCGGGTGGTTTATTAACTACAGAATAACCGGGCCCTTAGTGGTTGATTTCATAATCAACCTCCGGTCGGACCCTCGCATCTGCAGGTCCGGCCACCTCAATGTGAACTGCCATCTCAATGTGAAATATTTTTTTTTATTCAGGATATTAAATTAATTTATCAATGAATGTAGCAAGATTCATAAAATACAACTTGATTATGCAGTAGACAATCTACTTGTGACTCTTCCTAGTAAATTTGGTGGCTCTAACATTAATACCCTTGTCTTTACAATATCGTTCAAGTTCCACCATAACTTTCTTCCATTTCGGACGCAACTTCTCTAATGCCTCCTGATTATCAAGCTTTTGATGAATGAACTGTCATCTTGCATATATTAGATGGCGGATATGACCCCTCCTTTATGTACTACTCTTCGGGAGGCTCGCCGGCGGCGTTCGCGAGCCGCAGTGGCTGCGGCAGGTTTTGAGAGCTCATCCTGCAGAAGAGCCACCGTATTGGCCATCGCGATACTGCCCTTATAGAGGTTTTCTAGCCCAGTTTGGATATATTCAGGGTCTTCGACGTCCTCCATAGCCTCCAATTTGCGCTTATATCGGTTGAATTGACGTACGGTCGAAGGAGTAATACCAGGTCAAGGAGTCTATGGAAACGGACGTAGATGGACTCATATGAGTTGTCTCAAACTCACGTAATTTATTAAGGACGGTGGATGGATTGAATGGAACCAGGCCTGTTGCTTCCCATCCTCTCTTGATCGTATGAACTCTGAATGTCGCCTTTCGTATAGAGGTGATGGCATGAAGAAATTCAAATTTTGTAAACTTCTCACAACCACGTCTTGTTGCTTCTTCAACTGCCAGTGAATGATGATGTTTGAATGCCTGAAAAACCCCTACATCCAGAGACTGTAATAGATGGCTCGTATGAGGAATAAGGTAGAAGGGGATGATGTTATTTCTTGTTGCAATAATCCATGAACTCGTACGTGCAGTGGGAGTCAAAGCCATCCAATAGAAGCAGACGATGAGATCCTTTGGTGCGACTGTTCGTAGCGTGATAGAAGTGTTGAATCCACTGAAAAGAGATTTGATCATTGTTATAGCCAGTGTCTGACATACCCACCATGGCAACCTTCTCAATCTCATCGGTCCAGCACTCCTGTAGCTGCTTCGCGGTGAGAATGTACAAAAGGAGGGATGGTGAAGCCGTCCGTTGAGACTGCTTCAATGATCGTAAGGTTTTCTCTATTATTGGAGCTTCCAACACAAGTCTGCCTTCGAGGATCTCGCGTCACTATCCACTGATCTCGTCCGATTCCTATCCTGAACCCTGTTTCATCAAAGCTGTAGATATCGCTGAGTTGGACCCCAGACTTATCCACTGTCTCCTTGAAACGGTTAAACCAATTAAGTATGAATGACGGCTCGTGGGCTTGCTTCCTAGCCATGTCGATGGTCTTCTGCCGTCGTATATTGTATTCAGGATGACGTTTGATGAATCTTTTGACCCAATGTTCTCCAATCTCAGGCGGCCATGGAATCGATTGATCAAACGTGAGTTAAGGAACGTTGAATTCTCTCGCCAATGCACTAATATTAGGATTTTCAACATCGGCTATGGATTCTAGAGCTTCTTCAATCTTATTCTCTATTAAAATATATGAAGAAGTCATTGCGTTGACTGGTTATTGAATTTTGAAGATGGAATAGAATATCTAAATAAATATTTCACGTGGATCACATTTGAGATGGCAGAAACCCCTCGAATGCAAGGTCCGATCGGAGGTTGATTATAAAATCAACCACTAGGGGCCTGGTTATTCTGTAGTTAACAGCTAATTAGCAGCGAGAAGTAACCCAACGATCTAACTAGTTACCCTTGAAAGTCATCTTCCTTAGCAATGCCATTCCCAGGTTTGAGCCGAAACCATCAATTCCGCTCATATTGGCAGCTTTCATAATTAGTTACCCTCCAAGTTTCTCTGGCAATCACATATAAGTGAATAAAACAGGGCAATTCCACCGTCCTAAAGGCCCTCGGTTGAGAATTTAAGAAGGCAACTTCTGCACATACATAAGCAGTCTTGAAGCTGGAAACTACCCATCCCGCGTGAATATCTAGCCATGATATACAGAGCTCTGGGCAAAACCATGTATCCGCGTCGTTTGTCTGTCCCGTCCGTGGTAGGATTCTTGATTATGGAAGCGTAATGAGTAAACCCCAGTTGTTCAACAGAAGACAATCGGGTCTTCACAGTGTCGGTTCCCTTTGCTTTGTTAGGATAACCCAAAAACTTGGATCTCAACTGAGGATTCGAGAATCTGCGTTCATCGGAGATTTATCACTCAAGGTATGAACTAGCGCCCTGGGATACGGACTTCCAGTTACTGAATAGTAGAGTTTCTCGACTCGACAGCCAGATAAGCAGCGGGGATATATAAAATATGCTGACTTCATAGTATCCGTGGAGGTTTTTTTTATTTATTTTTTTTTTTTTTTTAAATTTTTTTTCCTTCTAATTTTATTTTCATTTTTACTCTCATTTTTGTGTGTTAGAGAGAGTGCAAAACAAGAACCAAGAGGAATCCCTTTGATTGCATCCTTTTTAAATAAGCCTCCAAATCCCGTAATACAGGCTTCCAGTATGCCACACATCAAGTGAGGGGACGCAGTTTTCTCCTCTTCGAACCAGGCCGATGGAGCCCAAGGGTTGCTGCGTAATTTAATGTCATCTGAGGGGCCATATTCAAGGATTCTCTAGAAATCAGCCAGCTTGGGGACCCAATAATAGACCTTTGTTTGGGGTTTGACATCCAACAGCCCTACCTGAATGCCCTTGGGCCAGCATCTTGAGAGAGTTTTCATGGATATCAGCAACATATTCAGAAGAGAACCCTAGTAAATATAACGCGATCACTCAATATGCAGTGGGAAACTTGCAGGAGAGGTCCGAAAAGACGAGTGACTGGCTGGCCGTTGCCATTGAGATGAGTCAAAATTGAGATGATTTCACAACTGTGACTATAAACGGATGATTTGCTATTCATATTTTGTTGGGAGTGTATCCAATATTTGTGAAGAGGTGTTGAAGATAAAATAATGAGCACGGAACTATTCTGCTCTGACCATCTCTCTGATCACATTATTATTATTATTATTATTATTAATAAATATCTGACAGATAGTTATCATACATCAAACTCCACTTTATGGGCTGGACAATCACTGATATCCTGAAGAAGGCTTCAGCACATTCATAGCTAGCGCACCAAGAGAGGGATTAACTAATAGGAACTGCCTAGGTCCCTATTAGCACCTCTATATATATATATGTGCCACTGGAAAAGCGCCACAGTTCGTTGATAGCCTCTTGGTGACTCGCCCATCGAAAAAGAAAAGGAAAGAGGAAAAAGTTACGTTCTAATTTTCCTGAAGAAGATGAAAGGAATGAAATGTAAGAAGAACCAGGGATGCCATTTCACGTCATGGGAAACTGAAACAAACCTGATACCTAGTTAACTATTAACATGACATAAACCTTCCTTGCCATCACATCTATCTTCAGTTATCAGAGAGGTATCTCAGGGCCAGGCCATGGTGTCAGATCTCACAATATCACTCCACGATGGACCTGTAGATAGTTTACCTATTCATCCAAGAGTCAATAGATTTCCATCGATGCGCAATTTTTTTCAGGTTTGACTCTTGTCATATCATTCTCTCAGTAGTTATCAAATCATACCTCGATACTTTATACTTCATAAAAAGAAAGAATCACTGATTGAACACTGACATTACCATTTTGAGTTTCTTCATGTTTAAGTTTACATGGATCCGAGTTCAATCTTAGAAACTATTATGTCTCCTGGGTATGGAATGCTTACCTGGTCTTTGTGTTGATTGAAATCGATGCACTAGTAATTAGTATCTATTGGTAAATTAACGCAGGAATTGGTTCTGTAGATAATATATATTTCATATACTTACACTAAATATCTTTCACAACTTTTATATACAATAGCTAGGGACAATTCATTACTACACTTAATCAAAGCAAAAATCATATCTGCTGTGTAAGTTAAGTCAACTTTAAATTTACATTTTAACTCTTTGAAACATTTATCTTAACCCTGAACCACAGCAGTCAAATGTGGGACGTTGACGCCAAGTCAACATCAACCGGGGAAGAACCGTGAAGCAGATCTGCACTGAAGGCACACACAGCTCATTATTGAGGCATTGGCTCATTGGCCCATTGGCGGCGACCAAAGGCATCCTTGAGCAGCTTATGGAGTATTTTCTTCTAGTTTTTGGCATTATTGACTAGCTGAGCAAATAAGTAATAAGCACACAGCGGATAGCACCTTTTGAAATCCAGCGTGTTGCTTTCTTTTTGCCACGCGGCTCCAATCAATAGTTATAGCAATCAATCAACACTTTGCACAGCAGAGTTAAAACTTGTTCATGACAAAGGCTGCTGGCAAGGAGAAGTCATCATGAGAAATCTGAGAAACCAAGGGGGGGGGCAAACAACATAAATAATTTATCTGTATTTGGGTTACACTCAACATAGTTAAAAACTTGGGTCTCAATAATAAATAAAAAGTCCTGCTACTTCCAGCAATTCCCTATGATTTACCGTTTATGATCGAATCACGCCGCGGCCCAATCATCGGCTGCGATCCACGGTGCCTGGTTAGCCAATTGAGTTTGATATTCCAAAAGACCCGCGAAGTCAAAATTCGCAGCTTTTGATCTTCATGCATGGATCCCATCTACGGATCCTGTTGGAAACAGTGCAGGTACATGTACAAACGCTTCCCTAGCGAATTACACTGCTTGATGTCATTGACTGTCATGATTTTGCCGAAGTTTAACAGGCATGGTCTGTGGGAATCCAGTGCCTGGTGGAACACGTAAGAATCAAGATTCTCTCAAGCTGTCATAGATGCGCCTCCGTCCGTCGCAAATCGAGGGAGTTGGATTGCCAAAACCTCTCAGGACCTCATCTCTCCCTGTGGAAGTTACTTGAAAAGAACAGGAACATTAATAATGGGGGACATGAAATGTCATCTCTTCCCCCCTATTCTCCAATGGGGGTCCAATTCGTAAAACCAATCAATTTCTCTCCACCTCGCCACGATTCCCATGAAGATCACCCCTGACGAAAGAAGAATAATAAGTTTAAGCTACTTGTCGGCTTTTACTCTGTGAGACCTGTGATCTCTGTGATTGCACACACCTTGCAGCTTGGTTTGAACCAATATGGCTGCTGGCAGTGGTGGTGGTGGTGGTGGTGGTCGTGGTGGTCGTGCAGCTCAAATTCCATATTATTCCCCCATCACCCCCTCCCCTGTTTTCTTCCTCGATCTTTTCGCCCTCATTCTTCATCCCCTTTCCCCAGCCCAAGATCTCATCATTCAAAACTTGCCGGGGTGTATCCTTCACTTTCTCTCCTTTCATCGTATCAACATATTCCCAGCAATTGTATATCCAACGCAATATTTAAGAAAGAATAAGGATGAAAGTCACCGCCCTGTTCGCTGTGGGTGTCTTTGTCTCCTTTGGTGCTGCTCAGGACCTGAGCAGCCTGTCAGAATGTGGTGTACGTTTACAATCCCAACCCCTTCCGCCAGCACCACGCTCGCTTTACACTTTTTATTCTGTCTGTTGACATTAAGAACTGGGGTATCGCGTTTTTAGCGCACATGCATCCAAGACATGCTGAGCCTTGCTCCATCACTTGGCTGCAAAGCTGATGACATTCCTTGTCTTTGCCAAAACACGAACTTTGGCAATGGTGTTCGCGACTGCACCGTAGAGGCCTGTGGCGAGCAAGATCTTCCGCCTATCTTGGAATTTGCCAAGAAGTTTTGCTCCGGAGGTTCGCCAAGCGGTTCCCCAGATGCGACAGAGACGATAGATGCTGAGCGCACCGCTTCATCAACTGGCTCACTCAAAACGACCACAGGCGAAAACCGCGCTTCCACAGCGGTAGGGGTTTTCTTCTTCTTCTTCTCTCCTTTCTCCCGGAGTGTGTTCCCGGCATTCCTTAATTCCAAATCCGCTAATCGAGTCGTCCCACGATATATTAGACTGGCTCTAGCATCGCTAAGTCTTACCCTTACACCACTCAGGCCGTTGTATCAACGATAACCTCCGGCACTCAAGTCATCACTATCACCGACGGCATCACCACTCTCTACTCCAGCGTCTCTGAAACACCTAGAACAACAGACACCACTTCCCAACCGACAGGATCAACGTCTCCAACTGAAGAACCTAAGACTACCTCTAGTAGTGAGACTACTGGCGCTAACCAAAGCATCAGTTCCAATGCCAGCCCAAGCTCAACCAGGAGCAACAATGGTGCCCTCCCTACATTAGCCCCTGCCAACCCTGGAGTCATTGGAGCGCTCGGTGTCATTGCTGTTCTGGTGTTGTAAAAAAACTCGATGCTGGGTAGATTTCAATTTGAATTCGGTGATGCGCTCAACTACATATCGGATCGAAGAGATGAAATGATGGGAAACGGATATTTTTTGGTACCCTGTGTTGATAGCTTCAGTTCTGTTCCGCTTTAGCGGGTCGAGCCATACAGGCTCTTTTAACCCCTTTTAGAGCCGACGTTCAGCGGAGATATATGCGCGATTCTCCTCGTGGGATGATTGGTGTTTGTTAGCGCAAGGTATGCCCTTGGATGCGCAGGGGGCGAGGAAGTTGCTTGTAATCATGCTCTTAAACACTTAATAATAATATGACCTATTCAATCGGGAGTGCCATTTCGGAAGCTTCCTTAAACTTTCCTTGGAAAAGAGAACGAAGCCCACGTATATTAGGATAAGTGCATGAAAATATCGCGGCTTTCAATACGCTGCCTTTCTCTTCTCGGGCTAGGCCCCTACATCTCCACAACGGACAAAGAGGAAAAGCTAGATCGCTCCGAGATTGTCCAGTATCTGACTTCCATACTGCGTGCGTCCTTTGCTGTTGGACGCGGGTCATACGTCAACAAGCCGCTCAACGCAGTTAGGAAGATCCTCCTCCTTCCAAACCCTTTGTGGGCTTTATTCAAAACTTTTTGAATTGCAAGAACAAGCACAATTCAGTTTGTTTGTGAAAGATGGTGCCCAAATACACAAACCGACTGGATTGATCATTTATCCCATCGGTCGGTAACTACAAGTTACGGTTACCATATTCTGCTGCGCAGAAGCTCAGCTAGCTTGATCAAAACATACACAATAATGTTATCCCCAAGATATCCCTACTCGAAGAAATAATTCAACGACTGATCAACATCAAATGCAGTCGAAGACTACATAACCCATGGCAACAATCTCGGCGATATCTGTCAGAGAAGCACAAACAAACGGAAACGGAATATGAAGGCTTACTAAAATAGCCTAGTTTTAGACTTTATTATAGGAGAGAGCAACATGCATCCAGTCCCAGCACAAACAAAATTCACAGTGCAACTGTTTTTTTTTTTTTTAAGAAAAAAAAAAAAAAACGAAAAAGAAAAAGAAAAAGAAAAAGAAAAATAAGGGGGAAACTCCGCTAGAGGGAGACAAGTGAAACAAAAGAGTAAAGTCGAAGAGGCTTGGTTGATAACGGAGAGGAGCACGGATGATACACAAGCAAACCCCCTCAGGCTGAACACAGAAAAGAAAACATCATCTTGTATCACAGAGAACGGCGAATCCCTGTAGTTACGCAAGAAAATCGCAGAAAGGCAAAGACCAGGAGAAATGTTTATCAAATAGGTAGTAAGAAAATGAAAAAAAAAAAAAAAAAAAAAAAAAAAAAATGGAGAACGTGTGCCTGTCAACTACTCCTCTCCCAAGCTCTCCCTCACACACTTCCTTACCCGCCGTTTGAATTCCTTAGGATCTTCACGCCACAGTCTCGCAGCCTCCACATTTGCAGGGCTTTCATCGTTAGGGCTCGAGAGCATGCTAATGACGCTTAGCAGTATTGTTTCGGGAGTTTGAACAGGTGACCAGCGCTCCGCAGCAGATTCGTAACCGTATTTGTCGTCTTCTGGGGGATGGAGGATTGATATGCAGACTTCGCCATTGGGGTAGACTAGAATTCATATTTGTCAGACGGGCAGTGTGGGAAAGCATATTACTATTAAAGAAAGAGAGGGACGAGAGGGAGGGATGAGGGGGAGAAAAGAAGAGGAGAAAACAGGAGGAGGAAGAGAGTGTGAAAAAGGAGCAAGGCAACGAAGGATACATACTGTTCGGGTGGAATATCGGGGTTTCGAATTTCATCTTCGGCGGCAAGTGAGGATACTCCGGAGGGAAGGATAGTCGAGCACAGAAAAACCCGCCTAAAAATCAAACAGGGATGGGAGAGCAGTTAGCCAGCGGGAATATGGATTGGTTGCCAGACCAAGTCGGGAAAATCGTTTATTTCCCCCCCCCCCCCCCCTCCTCTCTCTTCGTCGAGCCCCCTTTAGGCCAAGGGGAGGTAGCAAACATATAGACGTACATTGCCAAAGCTCTCTGGTCTGCTATGATCTGATCTTCTGAGAAATCTGATGCAACATACCTCCATAGAACTTGCACTCATCCGAGATCATGAGCATGACCTCCCATTCAAATATATTATCATTTGCCAGTCCGCAACTAATACCCGGGATGTCCTTATCTGTTTGCATCTGCTTTAATTGGCGGCTTAACAACCCTGCCGCTGCAGAAGTCGCCATGTTGCCGTGGTTGGAGGGGGTGAATGAGAGAGGGTAAAACTCAAGAAACAGGCGAGGAGATCGCGTAGCTGATCCTAAAGCCTTCGCGGGCTGTAGTGAGTTCTACTTGGAAGAGGCCCTGGGCCCCTGGTGCGCTGGTACGGGAGAAATATGGGAGGATGCAGGAAAATTGATGGAGGGGAGAGTCCACGTTGAATCGTCAATGTTCACAAGCGCGTTAGTTGAACTATTAACTAATACTCCGTAACTAGTTATCGGGAAGGGGATAATTTTCAGGTCAAGTACTCATTTTACCAGGAACGTGCTTTATGTGGATATGTATATGTAGTAGTCAAGGTATGTAGATATGCACAAATAGTATGTACATACAGGGCATCAAAATGGGCATGGTTAACTACCTAGGTAGTTAGTTGGGTTGAAGTTGTTTCCGCGTCGAAGTGCGGGTTTGAAGCTGTTTTCTGAATCCGATTTTTGAACATTCACAAGAACCAAGGAACAACACCTCACCATCACGTGGAGTGTCGCAGAAGGCTGGCCCAAGAGCGTTACTTAATCAGGGAATGAGGCCATTTGAAGGGTTAATAGAAGCCCTGCTAATAAATCCATGGATCCATGGATATTAATAGCAGACTATTCGGAGGAATAAGGGTGGGCAACTTTTCGGCTAGCTACAAGTTACAGAGAACATAGATACAAACACACAGAAAATGTAATATAGACATAGGCATAGATATAAATACAGGAAAGATAATTTAATACAAGCCAAAATTGTAGGAGCAAAAAGGTGAGAGGCAAGGAAAACACCGTTGATGGAGATTCTAATAGGATAACCCCTGATAACGCGGAGGAGATCGAGATTATTGAGTTTATTTACTAATAAGAGGGAAAAGAAAGATGGAATGATGAAGACAAGAAAGACAACTTTTAAACTTGATAGAAAAGAAGTTTCAGTGCCTCAATCAATAGCTAATCATAATCACCCAGCAGAGAAATATCGTGGCTGGGTAAAAGCGTTCTACAATTCTTATACCTTGACAATCAATTTGTCGCCAAAGAGCATGACCTCACCAGCTAGGAATACAGCGCAAGTCAAGGCAACGGCTGTTAGCATGGCGAAGGTCTTAGCCAAAACCTGGAGGAGACGGATGCGGGAAGGCCAGGTGAAGGTTCTCCAGGCATCCAACAAACCAATCTTGCCGCCGCTACCGCCCAGGAGAACCGGTTGGACCTTTCCGCCAAAGGTGCGATCGAACGGGACAATAGTCTCCTCTTCCTCGGGGAGCAATGATGCTGCAACACGAATCATTGTCACGGTTGCTGGAATCTCCACAAGGACGGCCAGGGCCCACGAGAGAACAAGAACTCCTAGGGCGACGAGAACGTCAGAGTTGGGGTTGTACTCTGGGTCCGAGAATGACGAGTTGCTCTGGTTCACGGGCCACTGAATAAGCCTGAGTCCTAGCTGTGCAGGCAAGACCAAGGTGAGCTGTGAAGCAACCGAGCGGAGAGCAACCGCAGGAGCGATTTTTACCCAGCTGCCGCAGCCTGGAATGCGCCACCAGAAGGGCCGTTCAGACGGGTTGGAAATGACGATATGAACCCAGGCAAGCTCAAGAGGAGCAGAGACTACATCGGTGGCAATCAGGACCAGGGACTGAAGAGGATCGGGGTTGCGATGGTGGGAAGAGAGGAAGAGCTTAGCGAGCAAAGTGCGGCATATGCTCATGCAGAGGTACACATTCAACCCATGAAAGCGCGACCAGGGGCCGACACGGGCGCGGAGGTGAAGGATGGCGGTACGTAGACTGCGGGTGATAGGGCCTGGCGGGGAGAAAGCGGTGGCATTAAGGGAAGAAGAAGTATTATTTATGGATAATTTAGACGAGTAATCGGGGATGGTAATAGGGGTATAGATATCAGGGGGGTGTGGATCTTCCACCACAGTCAACATTGCCACCACCATGCCGTAGGTGTATTGGAACTGTTACATGATGGAGATGGAAAGAGTAGAATCAGCAAGAATTGTCATTGTATAAAAATCTTGTCTTGAAGGTTGTTGATGATGGATGGGAGTTTGTTCGGTGGTTGTTGGGCTAGGCAATATTTTTTTGGAAGTGTAAGGTGTAAGAGAGTTACATATGAAGAACACATACAGCAAAAGCAACCAGGCCGAACACAACGGTGGTGACAATGAACACCATCAATGCCCAAGCTGACAGGTGACGAGCCCCTCCACCATGGCCGTTGTCATTTGGAGAATCCAGATTGAGCAAGACGGCCTCCAGCCCCCTACAGGCCAGATGTTGGATCAAGGCAAACATGGAAGACTTGGTGAACTTGATATATAAACCTATAGTTAAACTTAGAACCCGGGAGAATCGAAAAATGAGGTAGTTATGTAACTGAAATGGGAACAAGGAAAGGCACAGGTGAAAACAAATGTAGAAAATAGTTAGATGATAGAGGAGAGGGAAAAAATGAAGATGTCTGAATGAGTTATGCAGTACTGCCCTGGGATAATTAGAAACCAACGAACAAGATGAGCCTGTCTAACCACTAATCCCTGAGATACAGAGCGTGTTTCATAATACCCCGCCGAACCAGGTTTTTAAGAACTTTTTTATAAATAGAAGGAGGGCAGACCGGAGGGTAGTTAGTTAACTTAATGTAACTAACCAGTTAACTAGTTAACGTTAGTTGAATATTAGTTAATAAGAAGTATCCCTACGATTTAGTTGTTTGACTATTTTTGCCAGATATGAGATCCCTGTCAATATATGTAGAAGCAGTATGCAGATACATACACAAACACACACACATCTGTCCTCTAACTTACTCATATGAAGGAAGACTTTGGCGAAACAGTATAACTGTCCAGAGATGTGGTAATCTTCAGATTGTCACGGTCATTTTCGTTATTGAAACATAATCGATACAAGATCTGTAAGAACAAAACAGTGTCGAGGATTGTACTCTCTCATATGTCAGTTGAGCTGACTGATGACACTTACTGTGAATGCTGAGAAATGAGTTGGTTGGAAATACTGCTCTACCTTTATTTTCATGACTTCATGACATTTTTTGATATGTGATAGATCCTGCCTGCTAATAATTTTATTGCAGTCACAGGTCTCTAACTTGAAATTATCAATAATTTTCACACACGGATATGAAAATGAGCCTGCTTTCTGTAACGGACGTGCTAACCGAATATGCCTAGCACTTCCTTATAGAACAAAAAGACGAATTCGTTAGAAGGAGAAAAGAGAAAAGAAGAGAGAAGCGAATGAAAGCTACGGCGGGCGCGGAGTTTCTACGGATCAGGCTGGTTGGAAGAATAATCCGGGCTTCAGAGTTTTGGTTTCGAAAGGTTGTCACCCAGGCGTTAGCCTCTTACACTGAAATTACTGATAAACAAGTTAACTGACTAACTAGTTAACATAACAGTTGATCACTCAATAGTGAAACCAGTTACATGATATATAACTACATATGACCGGCCTCCTGATGCCATGATTGTATAACTAACCCGAATCATCCGATTTGCACGCCTCTGCCCAAGGTTACTCCTAGTCCTACTCGTATTGCTATATACTTATAAATAAAGCCTTGATTTTATTTCTTTTTTCTTTGATTCTGATCTTTTTATAGAAGAATAATCTTTTTGTTATAGGTCAAAGAAATAATTGCATAAGCTGATTGAATTTCTATCATGTGAGACTTGAGTTATCAGCTCAGCTTTGAACTAGCATAAAGATAACTAGTTAACTAAGTAACTAATTGAAATCTATTATGCATCATTCTCCTTTTATATTCTATACTCTCTTCAAGAGTGAAAAATAGCTCATATCAAATAAAATGAGAGATATAAAATTGTCACGATCACGAGATCTCGCTGACATCTCCTTGGCACTTCCACGTTAGAGAAACCGTCTCTAATATTCGAATTACCCCGCCTTTATACGAGATGTACAGGATCATCCCTGTGTAGGGAATATGGGAATTACGCCCATGGCAAGGCACCTCCACCCCCCCTAATCGGATAGAGCGGCATCTTAGCGTATTCATGAAGAATGGGAGTCTGATAGAAATCCTATATAGATAGCTACCTGACCCACGGTTCAGAGGGTCAGCGATTCGTTCTCAATATATCAGAGTTATTGGAAAACACACTCAAATCCCTCTATACCCACTTACTTGTATCCTTGATTTCTAGTTGTCTATCTCTTCTGTTCATAGGCATTAAGCTGGCCTGTTTCCTTTATCTAGTCAAGCCTGCTCATCGGGCTTCCCATCAACTAAATCCTACGCGGCGACACACTGTTGACTCCCCGTCTCGGCGCCGTCTCGTTACAGTTCGAATCGCTCAACCTGACTGCTGAAGAATCAGTCAAGCTCGGACAACATGTCACATCCTGAAGAGGGTCATGAAACCCAACCTGCCGCTGGGGCGTCCTATACCCAGCAGGCGTCATACACCTTCGACCCCTGGGTATCCTGAACCTAACCCTCTCAGGAACCCTGAGGTTCCTGTACCGACCAGGCATTTTTCCCATGAGGGAACCCTTCATCTTGCCCCCTCCACGGCCTCTTCACTCCTATGTCTATGATGGAGAAAAGGAGAGATAAAATATCAGAGATCCGCGACCGTACCAGGGCAAAAACTTGACTGAATATCACACTTCCTATCGAGCCCTGGAGCGAAAGTTCCGCCTTAACCCAACCCAATTTAGCACCCATGAAGTTCGAGTCTTGTATGCTGTTATGATTTGTTACTTAACACTGTCAATGTGGTGGATGAGGACCTCATCTTGGGACTTTTGTGGTTACTGGAACTTAACCCTCGACTGGATCACTCCAGGCATGGCGGTACCGGCTCACCGACGCGCAAGTCACTATTGAAACCCGTGAGGAATTCCATAGGTGTAACAGAGTTGAAGGCCTACAATCGTTATGCTATGACTGCGGACTTGGGGACAGGTGTCATCATGGTAGCACCA